CGCCTCCGCGGCGTCATTGGAATCTAACAGTTACTGGGCGCTCCAAGTGTGCTGAGCGGCGCGCTAGGGGTCGGGGGTGGCATGGCGGACTGCAGGGGCCCGCTGCTTGGCGGTCAGGGCCTCCCTGATAGACTGCATTGATCGTGCTCGCTTAGGTGGCAGCACCCGGCCCAGTGCTAGGCATACATTGGGCGCTCAGTAAATGCCTCTTACAAGAAAGTGTGCAATTTTCTGGTCCGCGCCGGTGCACCGCTAGGGGTCGCTCCTCGCTGGGGTGGGGGGGGGCACTAATCAACGACCTGTTTACGCGCACGCGCATTCCTTGCGGGGGAGAACTTGCGTGAGCCCTACCTCGAGGCGCCGGAGGCCACCACAACGCAGGCGCATTCAGCTGCGGACCACCCCCTCCCCCCGCACTCCTGCCTCGCCACTTCCCGTCCTCGCCCGGCAGGCCTTCGCTTTGCGCACGCGCCGTGTGAGGTAACGGCCCAGAGAAGAAGAGACACTTTTCCCGCCCGGCTGCGGGGCGTGGCTCTGCGCGCAGCTTGATGACGAAGTTTCGGCGCCGTGGCGGAATGGCGGCTTCTACCGCTGAGGCGGGCGACGCTATGGGTCCCACAGGTGAGTGGGGCGGGACGCGCGCGTGAGACAGTCCGGCGCCCTGGGGCCTTCCCCGAGCCGCTGCGGAGGCCATGTCCGTTCCTCCGCGAGCCCCAGGACTCTGGCTGGCCTGGCGGCTTTGCCCAGGCCGGGCAGGCGGGGCAGTGGAGAGCCCCGGCTGAGTCTTCCTGCCACCCCCCTGGGCCATGCCTTTGTGTCACCTTCCCTCGCGGCTCCTGCACTCTGTCCTAGTCCGGTAGGTGTTCGTTGAAAGTTAACTTTCCTTGAAGGAATTGAGGGAAGGAGAGCTTTGTGTTGAAGTTCAGCCTTGGGCTTAACAGGTGGTGTGGGAGGAACAGCCAGGTGTGGGTCCCAGCTCGACCCTTCCCATGTGTGCTCGACTTCTCCCAGCCTTGGTTTCGGAGGGTCCCGAAGCCCAGTTGGCGGGAGAGCTGGGAACAGGTGGGCGCGTGCTGCTGAGGGAGATCTTGGCCTGACAGAATTTGCTTGGAATGATTGGCATTGCCCAAGGGTTGTCGCTCTCAGGAAAACAAAACAAAAAAGACGGGGTCCGAAGCAGCTCCTGGAGAAAATAGGTGTTGGAGAGGCGCGATGAAGCGGACGCTAAATGCATGGCAGGCAGAGACCTGTGACGGGGGAGGGTGGCTATGGCAGGGTCAGAGAACAGGGGTGTGGGAGACACTTCTTGGGAATTCCCGGGTTGGAATATCCTCTCTTGGAAATTTCCTAGAAATTCTTCTGGGCCTCATTCTTTCAGTCGCTGCCCATGAAAGCTGCTTCTGAGCAGAGATGCTCTCCACTTCATCATCCGCTAGAGCTCCGCGCTTATCCAACAGTCCACAGCTGCTTTGATCATTTTGCAGTAGTGCAGTGTTTTCTTGATCAAGTGCCTTAGGACTGAGGCGTTTTTCTTTAACACTGCAATTGATAGCTAGGTTAAGAATTGAGGCCGGGCTCGGTGGCTCACACCTGTAATCCCAGCACTTTGGGAGACCGACGCGGGTGGATCACGAGGTCAGAAGTTCAAGACCAGCCTGGCCAAGATGGTGAAACCTCGTCTCTACTAAAAAATACAAAAATTAGCCGGGCATGGTAGTGGGCGCCTGTAATCCCAGCTACTTGGGTGGCTGAGGCAGAGAATTGCTTGAACCCGGGAGGCGGAGGTTGCAGTGAGCTGAGATCGCGCCACTGCACTCCAGCCTGGGTGACAGAGCGCAGAGGGAGACTCCGTGTCAAAAAAACAAAAAAAAGAAAAGAAAAAAAGCGGCGGGGCACGGTGGCTCGCGTCTGTAATCCCAGCACTTTGGGAGGCCAAGGCGGGTGGATCACGAGGTCAGGAGTTCGAGACCAGTCTGGCCAACATAGTGAAACCCCGTCTTGACTAAAAATACAAAAATTAACTGGGTGTGATGGGATGTGCCTGTAATCCCAACTACTCTCGAGGCTGAGACAGGAGAATTGCTTGAACCAGGGAGTTGGAGGTTGCAGTGAGCCGAGATCACGCCAGGGGACTCCAGCTTGGCCACGGAGCGAGACTCCATCTCAAAAAAGAATTGAAAAAGCCTGCACTTTGGGAGGTGGAGGCAGTGGATCACTTGAGGTCAGGAATTTGAGATCAACCTGGCCACCATAGGGAAACCCGCCTCTACTAAAAATAGAAAAATTAGCCAACCTTGGTGGCAGGCTCCTGTAATCCCAGCTACTCGGGAGGCTGAGGCACTAGAACCTTTTGAACTTTGGAGGTGGAGGTTGCAGTGAGATGATGGAGTGAGACTGTCAAAAATAAAATAAAATAAAATAAAGGCTGGTGCAGTGGCTGACGCCTGTAATCCCACTGCTTTGGGAGACCGAGGCGGGCAGGTCATGAGGTCAGGAGATTGAGACCATCCTGGCTAACACGGTGAAACCCAGTCTCTACTAAAAATACAAAAAAATTAGCTGGGCGTAGTGGCGGGGACCTGCAGTCCCAACTACTCAGGAGGCTGAAGCAGGAGAATGGGGAGAACCCGGGAGGCGGAGCTTGCAGTGAGCTGAGATCAGGCCACTGGACTACAGCCTGGGCGACAGAGTGAGACTCTGTCTCAAAAAATGCCAACACATGCTACAACATGGGTGAAGGTTGAGGCCATTATGCTAAATAATCCAATCACCAAAAAAAAAAAAAAAAAAAGAAATTGAAAAATCTTGGGAGATATTCCTATTGCCAAGTGGCACAAAGGCAGAGATTCCTCTCTCCTCCCACACTGCAACTGCCTACATGGCCTCTTTACACCCAGCCTTTCTTCCTCCACAGACTGCCAGGTGCCACCCCAGTGCCTTTACTTGTGCAGTGGGCAGAGCTGGGCCAGGAAAACTGTAACTAGCCCACCAGTGGGACTTGGCAGACTTCCTGTCTGTGAAGTCTAGATCTGAGCATTTTTCATTTCTGACCTCAGTGGGCTGAGAGGTGGGAATTTGGAAAGCTGGTCTTAGTTTTCTTTCTTTTTTTTTTCATTTTTTGAGACAGAGTTTCCCTCTGTCACCCCGGCTAGGGTGCAGTGATGCGATCTTGGCTCACTGCAACCTCCGCCTCCTGGTCTCAAGCATTTCTCATGCCTCAGCCTCCCGAGTTGCTGGGACTACAGGTGCCCACCACCACACCTGGCTAATTTTTGTATTTTTAGTAGAGATGGGGTTTTGCCATGTTGGCCAGACTTGTCTCGAGCTCCTGGCCTCAAGTAATGTGCCCACCGTGGCCTCCCAAAGTGGTGGGATTACAGGCATGAACCACGGTGCCCAGCCTTTGATCCTAGTTTTCTGATGGTTTATTCGAAGGCTCCCTTGGCAGAGGTTGCTCTTAGCCTCCATTCATTGCATAGCGCACAGGTAATATGGAGGGGATTTGCCCCTGTCTCAGAGTTTTGTGAGGCGGTCTTTGTATTGGAATCTTGGTTCTGCCACTTAGTAGCTGGGTGGGGGTGAGTGAGTTATCCCATATCTGCCTCTCCTTCATCATCTGTACTGACCTGCAGTCATAGTACATCTGTACCCATAGGGTTGTTGTGAGGATGGTTTTTCTGTTCTTATATGACGAACTTAGCAGCTTAAACCAGCACTCGTTATTATCTCATAGTTATGTATGCAGAATTCCAGGCAGGCTCAGCTGTGCATTACAAGACTAAAATCAAGGTGTTGGCAGCTTTGCTCTTACCTGGAAACTCTAGGGAAGAAGCTGCTTCCAGGTTTATTTGGGTTGCTGGTAGAATCCAGTTCTTTGGAGTTGTAGAACTAGGGTCTTTGTTTCCTTGCTGGCTGTCAGCTGGGGACTACTCTGTAACTTCAGGTCCACTAACTTAAGACTCTAATTGTATGTGCAAAATGCCGTCACAGCAGCACCTAGATGAGTATTTGATTGAACAAACGGGTCAGGAATCTTGGGCTGCTATCTTTAGAATTTTGCTTACCACTGAGGATTAAATGAGGAGATATAGAGAGAGCACTTAGAGTGAGTCCTGGTGTATGACAAATGCTGTACGAGCATTACCAAGAATTCAGCACCACAACTCGGCTCTGAAGCTGGCCACTGTGGGCTGCAGAACAGTGTTTCTTTTTTTTTTTTTTTGAGACGGAGTCTTGCTCAGCCTCCCAGGCTGGAGTGCAGTGGTGTGATCTCAGCTCACTGCAACCACCTTCTCTCGGGTTCAAGTGATTCTCGGTCTCAGCCTGCTGGATAGCTGGGATTATAGGCACCTGCCATCATGCCTGGCTAATTTTTGTATTTTCGTAGAGACAGGGTTTCACCATGCTGGGCAGGCTGGTCTTGAACTCCTGACCTCAGGTGATCCTCCCGCCTCAGCCTCCCAAAGTACTAGGATTACAGGCAGGAGCCACTGCACCCAGCTGAGAACAGCGTTTCCATAAAAGATGGGAATTGCTGGCCGGGCGTGGTGGCTCACACCTGTAATCCCAGTGCTTTGGGAGACTGAGGTGGATAGATCACTTGAGTCTGGGAGTTCAAGAGCAGTCTGAGCAACATGATGAAACCCCCATCTTTACAAAAAGTACAAAAATTAGCTGGGCTTGGTGATGTTTGCCTGCAGTCCCTGCTAGTTGGGAAGCTGACGCAGGAGGATTACTTGAGCTCAGGAATTTGAGGTTGCAATGAGCTATGATCACACCACTGTACTGCAGCCTGAGCGACCAAGCAAGACCCTGTCTCTAATCAATAAATAAGACATGAGAATTGGTAATGTAATGTGTGTTGCGTTACACAGATATTCTCCTGGGCATTGTGAAACTATGTAATATTTTATTAGGGCCAGGTGCAGTGACTCACACCTGTAACCCCAACACTTAGGAGGCCAAAGCAGGAGGATCAGTGGAGGCCAGGATCCTGGGCATCATAGCCTGACAAACTAGCCTGGGCAACATAGTGAGACCCTGTCTCTAAAAAGAGAAAAGAAGAAAATTAGCCGGGCATAGTGGCATGTGCCTGTACTCAGAAGCCTGAGGTGGGAGGATTGCTTGAACCCGGGAGTTTGAGGTTGCAGTCAGCTATGATTGTGCTGCCGCATTCTAGCCTGGGCAACAGAATGAGACCCTGTCTCTCAAAAACTAATATAAAAAGATTCTGCTGTGTTGCAGATGTTGAGATTTTTGTCCTTGTTTTTCCACAGTGGCTTGCTAAGAAGCCCGTTTTCAACTCTCCACTGGAGGCTGCTATGGCGTTCCCTCACCTCCAGCAGCCCAGCTTTCTACTGGTAAGTATCAGCTGCTTGCATGAGTGTCAGTGTGGCCATAGTTCTGTAGCCGTGGGACTTGAGTGTTCTTCCCACTGACTTGAAGAACTCTGTAGTGGTTGTTTTTTAGGGGCATGTGATGGAAACAGTGCCAGACTCCTTAAGCTTGACTGTGCCTCCTTAATTACTACAGGACCTTGGGGTTACGCACCCTCTGTGCTCTGGGTTTTCTCATACAAGACAAGTTCATTCAAATTCTATTTTCTCTACTTCCCAAGGGTATGAGGAGGAGGAGGAGCAAGTGAGAAGGATGCATATCAGAATGTTCATGACCTGTAAATTCTTAAATAGATACGAAGCATTCTAATAATCAGTCATAACAGTCATCAGTGAAGAATGGAGACACTGTTGTGCTGGGGGCTGCTAGGTTGCACTTTAAGTATTAAACATGATGCTGAGAACTGGTTACAGTAGCTCATGCCTGGAGTTCCAGCTACTGAGGAGACTGATGCAGGAAGATTACTTGAGCCCAAGAGTTTGAGACCAGCGTGGGCAACATGGTAGACTCAAAAAGAACAGAAAAAAAAATGATACTGAGAAGTGAGAAGTTAGGTATGAGGCAAGTATTGGCGATGAAAGTTCCTAATTTTAGTTCTTCGGAGGTGTTTTTGTAAACATTTATGTGGAAGGACATTCTTCCTCAGTGCACCCCACTAGAGTCAGCAGGTCTGGCCCATGGCTCAGGTCTCTCTCAAGTGCTGTGAAATCCACCCTCATTTGGAGGTAGACAAGGCCTTAGATGTCCTTTGGCAGAGCTCTCTAGGTTGAAATTCTAGCCGTTTCTCCTGATCTTAATCTGTTTGCACAGATGCCCTTTTTCTCCTTGTAGTCAGGGTGCTTTCCTTACATCCCATGACTAGGTAGATTTCATTAGTCCTTGTCCTGAGTCTTTTCTGGTCTCTCCATTGCCTTCATGATTAGTGTCTACTTGGCTGAAGCCATCTATAATTTTTGTCTGCCCTGTGTTTTAAGATAATTAGTTTAGTGGATTTACTGTCTACTGAATAAAGAACAGCTCATTTAAGAGAGCTTCTGCCATATCCCTAATGTTATTGGGCGTTCTTATTGGTGATCACAATGATGTCATCATGGTGGTCCATCAGGTTGGAAATTTCCAGTTGATGTGTACAAACTCAGTGGTACTCTGGTTTGTAAGGGGTGCCCTTATACAATCAAGATCCTCTTCTGGCTCTGGGACTGGCTCTGGGGCCAGCCCTGCTTAAGAATTGGCAGAAGTCAGTCCCCTTACACAATCAAGATCCTCTTCTGGCTCTGGGGCCGGCTCTGGGGCCAGCCCTGCTTAAGGATTGGCAGAAGTCAGTCCTGTTCTGACCATGTGCAGCCCTCTGAGAGGCACTGGGAAACAAGCCCGACAGTTCCGGGTCCAGAGGGCATCGAACTGTGGCCTCTCCTAGTAGGACTCTTTAGGCCACTGATGCACATGAGAGGCTGAGGAAGCAGGCCAGTGATTATGTGTCTGACTCAACCTATTGCTTGGATTTCTATTTGACTCAAGCCAGAGTATCACGAAAAGCTGCAGAGTGAATGTCCTCGTGATTTTTTTGCTTTGTTCTATCTCCTAGGCTAGCCTGAAAGCTGACTCTATAAATAAGCCCTTTGCACAGCAATGCCAAGACTTGGTTAAAGTCATTGAGGATTTTCCAGCAAAGGTACAGCTCTGCTAATGTCTCTCTTTGGAGCATGTCTTATACATTCCTTGAAGAACTTTATTATAATTCCTAATTTCCCTCCCTGCCCCAACCCCAAGCACTGCCTGGCACAGAGTGCTGGCCCTTATCATGACCATTATGTTATAGACGCATTTAAACATGTGAACTTATAGATCAGGGGTTCTCAGCCACAGGTGCTCTGTCCCTCAGGGGACACTTGGCAATGTCAGAGACATTTTTGGTTGTCACATCTGGAGGTAGATGGGGAGTGTGTGCTACTGGCATCTAGGAAGTAGAGGCCAGGGTTGCTGGAAACATCCTGCAAAGCACAGGACAGCTCCCTGCGGCAAAGAAGTATCTAGCCCAAAATGTCAATAGCACCAAGGTTGAGAAACCCTGATGTAAATGCAAAAATATGTATTTAAATCACACCTGGAATTGTCAAGCCCAGGAAGCCGGCCTAGGCAAGGAGTTCGTACCAAATGGCAATAGGTCAGTTCGGTTTTAGGGGCTTCACTCTGGGAAGGATGTTGCTTTCCTTTCTGATAGAGCGTCCTTCAAGTCAAAAGTTTCCAACACTTTCTAAAGAATCTTTTGGGGTGGTGACTCATGCCTGTAATCTCAACACTTTGGTAGGCCGAGGTGGGAGGATCACTTAAGCCCAGGAGCTCAAAACCAGTCTAGGAACATACTGAGAACCTATCTCTACAAGAAATTTAAAAATTAGCTGAGTGTGGTGGTGTGTGCCTACTCAGGACACTGAGGTGGGAGGATTGCTGGAGCCCAGGAAGTCAAGGCTGCAGTGAGCCATGATTGCATCGCTGCACTCCAGCCAGGGCAACAGAGTGAGACCTTGTCTCAAAACATATGTATTTTATTTATCCATTTAATTTTATTTTTAATTTTCTTCATTGTTTCTGTTTATTTTTTGTTTTTTTCTTAATTTAGTCTTGTATCACACACACAAAATGTGTTTTGATCAGAGGCTGACTTACTTAACTGGCCCAAGTCTAAAGCGGCGCTGCTTGGTATGCCACGTACCCCACTGGAAGAACCCAAAGCTGCTCTTGTTGTTGGCACCAGGATTCCTTTGGGTGCAGGACTGATCCCATAGGTCTCAGCCAGGGAGTGGCCTCCTCAGGGGGAGCTAGGCAGCAGGTAGTGCAGGACTAGAGCTGCGGCAGGAGTGGGTGCTGGTCCTGCCCGCAGCCTCACCACACATTGTTTCAGGAGCTGCACACCATCTTCCCATGGCTGGTAGAGAGCATTTTTGGCAGCCTAGATGGTGTCCTCATTGGCTGGAACCTCCGCTGCTTACAAGGGCGTGTGAATCCTGTGGAGTACAGCATCGTGATGGAATTTCTTGACCCTGGGTAGGTAGATTCGTCACTGGAGAGAGGCTGGGTGATTCCTCATGGTGATTCCACCTTTAAACCACTCTCTGAATTTTTTATGATTGAGAAGCAATCAAAGCAGGATAATTTGCAGCTCATTTGCTTTTTTGTGTGTTTGTTCAATTTCATGTTCAGTGGCCCAATGATGAAGTTGGTTTATAAGCTTCAAGCTGAAGACTATAAGTTTGACTTTCCTGTGTCCTACCTGCCTGTAAGTAAACCACAGTGGCGAGAGTGGTGCTCGGGGCAGTGGGCCTTGCACAGCCCTGTGGTGATGGGCAATCTCCTCCAGTCCTCTGAGGGCAAATTTAGGAGTGATTTGTTCCCGGGGTATGAGAGGCAAAGGAAATGGGTATTGCATGGCTGCTACCCTTGCTGTCTGTAGCTTTTTATGAGATGGTAGGAGAAGTTCTAAGCAAAGACTCTTGTTCAGGCACTGCTGAGAGGCAGGGCACTGTCCCCACAGATGGGTTCTGTGTGTGGGTCTCTTCCCCAGTGGCCTTCCCAAAGTGCTGCTGTGCATGTGGGGCACTGTGTATCGGGCATTGCGCACCAGCACCTGCCCACAAGCCTCACTGCCTCTCTCTGCAGGGTCCTGTGAAGGCGTCCATCCAGGAGTGCATCCTCCCTGACAGTCCCCTGTACCACAACAAGGTCCAGTTCACCCCTACTGGGGGCCTTGGCCTGAACCTGGCCCTGAGTATCCTTTGGTGGCCCTGAGGTAGGGAGGCTGTGGGTGGCCCAGCACTTGACACTGTGGGGGTTGCTCATCAACCCTGCTTGTTTGCCCCTGACGCTGCCCTCAGATCCGTTCGAGTATTACATATTCTTCTTTGCCCTGAGCCTCATCACTCAAAAGGTAGGGAAGAGATGCCTTTAGCTGGGAGAGGTGGGACCATGGCCCAGGGCTTCCCTGCACTTGTTGGCCAGGCAGCATCCGGAGCCCATGCTAACAACTAGCTTGGTTTTCCAGCCACTCCCTGTGTCCCTCCACGTCCGTACTTCAGACTGTGCCTATTTCATCCTGGTGGACAGGTACCTGTCGTGGTTCCTGCCCACCGAAGGGAGTGTGCCCCCGCCACTCTCCTCCAGCCCAGGCGGGACCAGCCCCTCACCACCTCCCAGGTAAGGCTGCCCTTTGTTAAGACCTGGCTCTTCCATAAGGGAGTGACCTGGTCAGTTGCATCGCCCACGGGGACAGTGTTGTCACCCTTTGTCCAGGGTTCCCCGATTTTTCTTATGCCTCATTCCCCACCCCTAGCTGTCTTAGCACAGATGGGGAGGGGGGTGTGGAGGGCAGTCTGTCCTTAGTTTTCAGTGTCTTTGGCCATCACTGAAGCTATCAGGTCCCTGGAGGCCTCCCCGGCCTTCATGGGAATGTGTTGTGTTGTGCGTGGAGCAGCCCTCCCCACAGGCAGTGTCTGAGCCGGGGAGCAGGGTGGAAAGGTTGTCCTATGAGCAAAAAACATGGAAATCTCTACGGGCCCCAGGAGCAGGTCGAAGGGGAGGCCCTGGGCCAAAGAGCCTGTTGTGCCAGTCCAAACAGGCTGAGCCTGATGCCCGCCTGCACAGGTAGGGAGTGTAAACCAGGGGCTCTCATGCCTGGCTGTCCTGGGTCCTCAGTGGGCCCTAACGCAGGGCCTCTTGGCCGACTTCCCAGGAGACCCTCTTGCCCCTGCAGCAGCTGCCTATGCACCTCTGACCCTCCTTAATCTCACTGGCCCGTCGCCTTCCCTGGGAAGCTGCATGCAGGCCCCTTCCTGCAGGTGCTGGCCCACCCCAGATCTGCTGGCATATGCAAGGCAGGCCAGGCCTTTACCTGCAATTCACACATGTGGACAGATTCCCCAGAGGGTGGAGGGGAGAAAGGGAGCGGCAGGGAGGAGACACTGCCCGGTTGGCGGCAGTGATCAGTGACCCTGAAATGTTGCTGATCCTGTGGAGGACTTGGAGGCGAGGCAGATTCACACCCTCTCAGATGCACAGTCCAGCTGCCAAGCGGTTTTTGATGCCTTGTTTTAACTTTTTGGGTTTTTTAATTTAATTTTTTCTTTTAGAAATTATATATGTAGGCTGGGAGCGGTGGCTCACACCTGTAATCCCAGCACTTTGGGAGGCCGAGGCGGAGGGATCGCCTGAGATCAGGAATTCGAGACCTCCCTGGCCAATACGGTGTAACCTCGTCTCTACTAAAAGTACAAAAATTAGCTGGGCATGGTGGCAGGTGCCTGTAATCCCAGCTACTCGGGAGGCGGAGGCGGGAGAATCACTTGAACCCAGGAGACGGAGGTTATGGTAAACTGAGGTCGCACCACTGCACAAAAAAGAAAAAAAAATGTATATGTATGGTTTGAGTTTTTTTTCTTTGGAGACAGAGTCTCACTCTGTTGTCCATGTTGGAGTGGTGCAGTGGCACAATCTCAGCTCACTGCAACCTCCGCCTCCTGGGTTCAAGCGATTCTCCCGCCTCAGCCTCATGAGTAGCTGGGATTACAAGCACAGGTCAGCATGCCCGGTTATTTTTTGTATTTTTTTGTAGAAACAGTTTCACCTGTTGGCCAGGCTGGCCTCAAACTCCTGACCTCAGGCAATCCGTCTGCCTCGGCCTCAGACAAAGTGCTGGGATTACAGGTGTGAGCTACTGTGCCCAGCCTTTTTTTAAATTTATTTTAATTTTTTTTGAGACAGTGTCTGGCTTGGTTTTCCAAGCTGGAGTGCAGTGTTGTGATCACAGCTCACTGCAGTGTTGACCTCCTGAGCTCAAGTGATCCTCCCACTTCAACCTGCCAAGTAGCTGGTACTGTAAGCATGCACCCCCACGCCCAGCTTTTATTTTATTTTTTTGTAAGATGGGTCTTGCTATGTTGCCCAGGCTACTCTAGAACTCCTGGGCTCAAGCCATCCTCCTGCCTCAGCCTTCCAAAGTTCAGGAATCACAGGCATGAACCACCACACTGGCCCATTGTGGGCTTTTTTTTTTTTTTTTTTGACAGGGTCTTGCTCTAGTTGCCCAGGCTGGAGTGCCGTGGCGCTGTCTCTGCTTCTAGTGATTCTCCTGGCTCAGCCTCCCGAGTAGCTGGGACTACAGGTGCCTGTCACCACGCCCAGCTAATTTTTGTATCTTTAGTAGAGACAGGGTTTCACCATATTGACCAGGCTGGTCTTGAACTCCTGACCACAAGTGATCTGCCCGCTTTTACCCCCTAAAGTGCTGGGATTACAGGTGTGAGCCACCACTCCTGGCCTAGCCATTATGTATTTTTAAAGACGGTCTTACTCTGTCACACAGGCTGGAGTACAGTGTCATAGTCATCACTTGGTGGCACAATCATCACTCAAGCCAGCCTGTCACCTCAGTGACTACAGGCACGTGTCACCACAGCCAGCTAATTAAAAAAAATTTTTTTTTTCTTGCAGAGATATGAGGATGCCTCGCTGTGTTGCCCAGGCTGGTCTTGAACTCCTGGCTTCAGCAGTCTTCCTGCCTCAGCTTCCCAAATAGCTGGAATTACAGGTGCAAGCCACCACACCTAAGTTTTTATTTTGGAATAACTTCAGACTTACAGAAAAGTTTCCATGCATGATAAAAATAACTTGCAGGCCGAGCACGGTGGCTCACGCCTGTAATCCCAACACTTTGGGAGGCCAACGTGGGAGGATCGCTTGGGACCAGGAATTCGAGACCAGCGTGGGCAACATCGGGAGACTTCATTTCTACAAAAAATAAAATTAGCCAAGTGTGGTGATGTGCAGCTATGGTCCCAGCTACTCAGGTGGCTACCTCAGGAGCCTGAGGTGGGAGGATCACTTGTGCCCAGGAGCAGTGAGCTGTGAGCTGTGAGTGTGCCACTGCACTCTAGCCTGGGGTAACAGAACAAGATCCTGTCTCAGAAAAAAAAAAAAGAAACTTTCATAGACCCTTCACCCAGATTTCCAAATTGTTAACACTGTGCTGCATCTGTTGTTTTCGACCTCTATTGTATGTGTTTTTTTCTCTAAGCCAATATGAGTAAGCTAAAGGATATGACACCGCTTGACCTCTTAATATTTCAGTGTATTTCCTAGAAGCGAATGCATTATCCTATATAGTCACAGTGCCTGTAACCACACCAGAAAGTTAGTATTGCCACCAGGCCACACATTGTGTGCAGTGATGCCTCACAGGCTCACCCACTGTATGCAGTGATATTTCTAGTCCCCTTCAGTCAGGAATGGTCCCTTGCCTTTCTGTCTTTCCTGACCTCGACTCCTCCAGAGCATGCAGCCACCCCTTAGGCTGTCTGGTATTTGCTGGTGACTAGGCCTAGCACAGGCTTTGTTGGCAGGAGCACCGTAGTGGGACACCTGGTCCTTGCCAAGTGCCCTTTATCAGCGGGTGAAAAAGGTGTCGGTCAGGTTTTTCCACTGTAAAATAATTACTTTGTGCCCAGATTAAATAGTAATGAGGCTGAGCACCGTGGCTCATACCTGTAATCCCAGCACTTTGAGAGGCTGAGGTGGGCGGATCACTGGAGCTCAGGAGTGTGAAATCAGCCCAGGCAATGTAGCAAAATCCCATTTCTACCAAAAATTTAAAAATTAGCCAGGCGTGGTGGCGTGCGCTTGTAATCTCAGCTACTTGAGAGACTGGGGTGGGAGGATTGCTTGTACCCAGGAGGCAGAGGTGGTAGTGAGCCAAGATCATGTCCGTATACACCAGCTTGGGCTACAGAGTGAGATCATATCTCAAAAACAAACAAAAAAACATCAGTAGTGAGAGCCTGGGCAACATAGCACAAAACTTTTAGCCAGCCGGACACAGTGGCTCACGCCTATAATCCGCAGCACTTTGGGAGGCCGAGGTGGGCAGATCACCTGAGGTCAGGAGTTTGAGACCAACCTGGCCAATATTGTGAAACCACATCTCTACTAAAAATATAAAAATTGGCCAGCCATGGTGGCACATGCCTGCAGTCCCGGCTACTCGGGAGGCTGAGGCAGGAGAATCGCTTGAATCCAGGAGGTGGAGGCTGCAGTGAGCTGAGATCGTGCCATTGCACTCCAGCCAGGCATGATGGTGTTGGTCCCAGCTACTTGGGAGGCCTAAGTCTAGGAGGTTGAGGTTGCAGTGAGCTGTGATTGCATCACTGCACTCCAGCCTGGGCAACAGGATAAGATCCTGTATCAAAAAAAAAAAAATTTTGATAACGAGGATTTACCAGAAAGATGTATGGAGACTATGTAATTATCACTAGTATTAACATCCACTTTTGATTGTCTCCTTTTTTCAAATTGATTTTATTTGCAGACAAGGTCTTATTCTCTTACCCCAGGCTGGAGGGCAGTAGTACGATCTCTGCTCACAGCAGCCTCAACCTCCTGGGCTCAAGTGATCCTCCCATCTCAACCCCCCAAGTGTCTGGGACTACAGGCAGGCATACCACTCCTGGCTAATTTTTGTGGTTTTTTGTGGAGACAGGGTTTTGCCATGTTGCCCAGGCTGGAAATTTCTTAATTTTTTAGAAACAGGGTCTTGCTCTGTCACCCCAGGCTGGCGTGAAGTTGGCATGATCATTTGTCACTATAGCCTCAACTTGTGGGCCCAGACCATTCTTCCTCCTCAGCCTTCTAAGTAGCTAGGACTATAGGCACCTGCCACCAGGCCCTGCTGTTTTATGTTTCAATGTTTTTGTGGAGATGGATTCTCACTTTGTTGCCCAGGCTGATCTCAAATGCCTGGCCTCAAGAAATCCTCCTGCCTTGGTCTCCCAAGGTGCTGGGATTACAGGTGTGAGCCCCCATGCCCAACCTCGCTGTTGAGGTTGACCAAATTAGCTATTAATAGGGCAGTTACCAAATGGTGGTTCTCTAACTTCATCCCTCCTTCATTGATTAATGGGTCAGTGGTCACTGTGGTAAGGAGGACTTCTCTCTGTGCTATTGATTTATTCAGGTATATCAGTGTGATCAGGGGCTGGGGGGAGGGGCATTGTGCTATTGAGCAACTTGTAATCTGTCCCTGCTCTCCTTGATTTTGAGATCCAGATTGCCCCTGGCTAGGCCAGCAGGAGCCTGTAACTCGGGCCTATTTCTGTGTCTCCCTCAGGACACCAGCCATGCCCTTTGCTTCCTATGGCCTCCACCACACTAGCCTCCTGAAGCGACACATCTCTCATCAGACGTCTGTGAATGCAGACCCCGCCTCCCACGAGATCTGGAGGTCAGAAACTCTGCTCCAGGTGAGAGTCGAGCTGGTCAAAAGAAACTGTTCAGCCAGCCAGGCGCAGTGGCTCACGCCTATAATCCCCAGCACTTTGGGAGGCCGAGGTGGGCAGATCACCTGAGGTCAGGAGTTTGAGACAACCTGGTCAACATGGTGAAACCACGTCTCTACTAAAAATACAAAAATTGGCCAGCCATGGTGGCACATGCCTGCAGTCCCAGCTACTTGGGAGGCTGAGGCAGGAGAATGGCGTAAACCCGGGAGGCGGAGCTTGCAGTGAGCTGAGATCTGGCCACTGCACTCCAGCCTGGGTGACCGAACTAGACTCCATCTCAAAAAAAAAAAAAAAAAAAAGAAAAAAGCCACCTTCCACTATGTGGGACAGAGTCCCAGAGATGGCCCCTCAGCCTGGGGCTGATTTTAAATTGTTGATATTTTGCTGCTATGACGATTTAGAAAACATGAAAATAGATCTACCCACCCTTCTAACTTACATGTCATTGATGGTGTTTTTCATCCCAGAACCCCCTGTTCATGGAAGTGTTTTGTTTTGCCTGCGGTGATATGATTGTCGCCGAGTCTTTTGGTTTCTGCCTCCCGTGTTGTTGGAGATGTTTCCTGTGATTACCATTATGTGGATATTAAGCCCTGCCCCAGTAGCATTTTTATGACACTGAATGGTGAGGGGTCTGTGCAGCCTTCACAGGCCTTCCATTGATTCAGGGGATCCAAGTAGTAGGTGACAGATTTCCTTGTCTGCCCAGAGGGGCTCCAGCCTGTCAGGATGGTATGGGCTGGCTCACTCACTGAGTGCTGGCCAGCTCCCAGGTCCTGGCTGTGTCTTCTAGGCACACATCAGAGAGCTTCAGCAGGTGCTGCTTGTGACGCTGGATCCTGGGGCTGACTTGGTAGCCACAGCCTTGCTGTTGACAGCCTGGCCTGTAGATGAGATAGGATTCCGTCTTTACCTTCTATATAACTCCTAGGATTTGGAGTGCTGCGCTTTTTGAAGCCTCCACACCATTTCAGAGCATCCTCGCAGGGTGGAATGGTAAGAGCCGTTGCCCCTGTTCACAGAGGGGACCGTGATGCCCAGCTGACTCTTGGCTGTGTGGACTGTGGGCTGTGCTGGCCATGAAGAGGGCAGGAGATGGTGACACAGGGCTTATAGGGCAGAACTGGAAGGTACTGCTGTTTCCTGGACCAAAGCTTTGGGTTTTTTTTTTGGTTTTTTTTTTTTTGAGATGGAGTCTCCCTCTGTTGTCCAGGCTGGAGTGTGGTGGCACAATCTTGGCTCAGTGCAACCTCCACCTCTCAGGTTCAAGTGATTCTCCTGCCTCAGCCTCCCAAATAGCTAGGATTCCAGGTGCCCGCTGCCACGCTCAGCTAATTTTTGCATTTTTACTAGAGATGGGGTTTCACCATGTCTTGAACTCCTGACCACAAGTGATCCATTTACCTCAGCCTCCCAAAGGGTTAGGATTGTAGGCGTGAGCCACTATGCCCAGCCCTTTTTGTTTTTTTAATTAAGAAAAAAATTTTAATTATAAGATATACATAACATAAAATTTATTGTCTTAACCATTTTCAAGTGTACAGTCAGTAGTGTTAAATATATTCATGTTATTGTTCATCCGATCTCCAGAATGCTTTTCTTCTTGCAAAACTGAAACTGAATCAGCCTGGGCGCAGGGGCCTCACACCTCTAATCTTAGCACTTTGGGAGGCCAAGCAGGGAAGGATTGCTCAAGGCCAGGAGTTCAAGACCAGCCTGACCAACATAGTGAGACCCAATCTCTTTTAGTGAAAAACAAAGAAATCAAACCATTAAACAATTCCCCACCCAGCACCTGGCAACCACTATTCTGCTTTCTGTTTCTGTAGATTTGACTCTTAGATCTCATACCCAGAGTATTTGTAGCATATAATACTTATTTGTGTGTGACTAGCATGCTTCACTTAGCATAATGGACTAAAGATTAATCCATGTTATAGCATGTATCAGAATTTCCTTGCTTTTTAAGACTGAGTAGTGTTCCATTGTGTGGATGTACCACATTGTGTTTATTTATTTATCTCTCAATAGATACTTGAGTTGCTTCTTTTTTTTTTTAGAGACCAAGTTTTGCTCTTGTTGCCCAGGCTGGAGTGCAATGCCGCGATTTTGGCTTACCGCAACCTCTGCCTCCCAGGTTCAAGCGTTTCTCCTGCCTCAGCCTCCCAAGTAGTTGAGCTGGAATTACAGGCATGCACCACCATGCCCGGCTAGTTTTGTATTTTTAGTAGAGACGACGTTTCTCCATGTTGGGTCAGGCTGGTCTCGAACTCCTGACCTCAGGTGATCCACCTGCCTTGGCCTCCCAAAGGGTTGGGATTACAGGTGTGAGCCACTGTGCCCAGCCCTTTTTGTTTTGTTTTTAACAGGTTCTAACTTTGTTGCCAGGCTAGAATGCAGTGGTGCAATCTTGGCTCACTGCAGCCTCAAACTCCTGGGCTCAAGCAATCCTCCCACCTCAGACTGGGCTCAAGCAGTCCTCCCACCTCAGACTCCCAAGTTGCTGGGACTATAGGTGTGATGCCCCAACACACCCAGCTGATTTTTGTATTTTTTGTAGAGACAGATTTTCACTATGTTGGCCAGGCTGGTCTTGAACTCCTGGCCTCAGGTAATCCACCCACCTCAGCCTCCCAAAGTGCTGGGATGACAGGGCTGAGTCACCGTGCCTGTTGATTGCCTTTTTACTCTATCAATAGTATCTTTTCATGCTCAAGAGTGCTGATTTTGATGAAGTCTGTCTATTTTTTTCCTTTTGTTGCCTGTGCTTTGGGCGTCATATCTAATTAACCATTGCCAAATCTAGTGTTACGAAGTTTTCTCCCATGTTTTCTTCTGAGAGTTTATGGTTTTAGTTCTTGTCCTCAGGTCACTTACCCATTTTGAGTTATATTTTGGCAATGGTGTGAAGGAAGGGCCCAGCTTCACTGTTCTGCATGTGGATATTTTGTGTTCCCAGCTCTGCTTGTTGGAGGCACTGTCCTTTCCCCACTGAACGGTCTGGCACCATTGTTGAGAATGGTTGACTAGCTAATGCTTTTTTGCAGGTTTTTGTTGAAATGTGGCTTCATCACTATTCCTTGGAGATGTATCAAAAAATGCAGTCCCCTCATGCCAAGGTATGTTTCCACAGTTTTTCTTCCCACCTCCTGCTTCTGACCCTGCTCAACCTGCTGCTTATCCTGCCTCTGAGTGAGTTTTCACAGACTGAACGGTGGGAAGCAGAAACCCACCACCCACTTGTCACTCAGAAGCCGAATAAGAAGTGGGCATCGTTCTCTAGTTCCTGGTAGCGGGCAGGGGGTGTTGCACCCTGACGTGTAGACACTTAAGGACTGGAGGTCTGGCCTCTCCGGGGCCCACCCTGTGCAGCTTCCTGAGCCCCCTCCCTGGCAGCGGGAACAGATGAGGTTGTGGTGCTCTTGCTCTGAGGGCGGGGGAGCTTCGATGCTCTGGGAGCCACGTTCTCGTCTGTCTCCTCGACCATCAGCAGTGGCTTTGTGCTTTCCCATGAAGGGGTGGCTTGGAGCCTCCTTTGCCTGCTCCCTGTACTCCCCCACCTCCTCCAGAGCATGAGCAAGCAGCCCTTCTCATGGTGGGTGGCACCTGGTGCCCCCCTGCATGCAGCCTGGCTTGCCTCCTCTCCCTCCCTCTCTCCTCTCCCCGCTCTCTCTCCGGGCAACACGCTGCTTGCAGATGCCTGGAGGTGGCGGAGGCCCTGGGTCGCTCTTGCTGTTGCTGTTCCTGGAGCTAGCACCCCCCACCACCCGGACTGGTCAGAATGAGAAAGCAGCTAGGTGAACCTTGGATCTCCAGTCAGTCACCTTCCGTGGAGCCGCTTGACTCATGCCTATCCGGGCCCTTGCCTGAGGTGGCATCAGCCACGTGGTCTGGTGCCCATGGCGTCTGTGCATCAGTATGCTTGGGAAACTGGCTTTGTCGCTGACAGATTTAAACTGAGGGCTTCCTCCAGAATGTGGCTGGTGGAGTTAAACTTCAGAGGAGCATCCTGTCACTTTTCCTTGGGTTCTGGCAAAGAGCTGTGGGTCTGCTTCTGCCACAGTCTCTACAGCCAGTTCCAGGGCCCTATGCTTTGCCATGTGAAGGCTCTCGCAGAGCATAGGGTCCCCCAAATCCTCACCCTCAGAATCACATGGGTGGAGAATGGGGAAAGGCTGAGGACCCCATCTTGGGCCTCCTGAGTCACAAAGAGCCTGCAGTCCCCTTCCTGCTTCCAGAGCAGACTTGCTGCATGTCCCTGGCTGGTGCCTGGGGGCCTGGTTATTCCCCAGGCCTGCTCCTCCCGTGGGACTCTGGGTCCCTCACTCAGCACTAGTGCATGTGGCATGGCGTGGCCTGGCAGGGGCAGGGGCCACCACACTGCATTGTGTTCCGGTTGCTCCTTCTGCCTTCTGAGGGAGTGGAAGCACACCTACTTCCCAGAGTCAGCCAGAAAGACTCTTCTGGGCTGTCACCTGTGAGGATTCTGTGTCCTCACGTGCCAGAGGAAGGGCAGGGGGCTGTCCGTGTGGAGGGCAGGGGGTGCAGTTCCCTTCTTCCCCACTTTCGCTTCCTCTTGGCCAGACCTTGGGGTGGGTGGGCCCTGCTCAGAATACCTTGCAGTGGCCGGACCAAGTCCCCAGGGATGCTCCACTCTTCACCTCTTCCAGTTCAGGCAAAACACAAAACGCAAGAAAACTTGGTGGGTGGGAGCCAGAGAAAGGCGGCTATGGAGGTCTGTGTCCCCCAAGGCTTCTTGCCACTTGCCCAGGCCTGTGCTACACGTACTGCTGTGCAGAAATCCCTGCCTGTCCCCACTAGCCCTTATTTTCAGATGCAGGAAGTGAGGCTCCTAGGGTCATCCTCCTCACTCTGGTTGAGTCCAGGATGCGTGCTTGCTCCCCAGTGGCCCTGTGGGCAGTAAGGATGGCCATGGCGCTGCAGGCCACTGTGTTCCTGCAAGCAAGGGCAGAGCCACACTGGGGAACTGTATGTCTGATTCCTCCCTGAGCCCCAGGTCTGGCACAGGGGAAGGCTGTGGAGGGCAACACCTCCCTGCCCTGCTCCTTCGCTCCCTGCTCTGCGTGTCATGGCGACTGGCAAGTGTTCTGATCTCTCCTTTGTGGAGCCCCGTGGGTGCGCTGCTTGGGCAGGAGGCATGCTGCTGGCAAGGCAGGATGTGCACCAGGCTGGCTCTGGCTGCACTGGGCTGAAGGGGTGCTTCGGCAGGCCGTGGTGCTGCGGCACAGTAGGTTGGAGGGTCCTGGCTAGGAACCAGCTCAGCCTCAGGTTCCTGCTGCCTCTGGGTGTGTGTGGCTGTGGCCAGATCCTCGGGGGCTCCCACCCTTGGGAACCCACTGTGTCTGGAGGGTGGAAGTTTCTGGTGAGGTAGGAGGGGCTGCCTCCAGGAGTCAGAGCTGATGTGCACACCCCCTTAGCTGACCTCCGTACTGCCTGGTGGCCTGAGCCTGTGCTCCTCGTCTCTGTGCTACCCTTGGGGAACTGTCTTCGCCCTCAGTTCTCAGAGAGCCACGTGGAGGGGACACTGATTGAGTTTTAAACACATAGGAATTGATCATGTCTTACACCAATTTGGTAAATTTCTTAAGACAACCCAGGGGAATCCAGTCAATTCCACGTGTCTTTTCTGGGCAGAGTCCTCCTCCTGGAACATGCTCCGCTGGTTTTTCTGAGCCTCGGGATCTTGAGGTCTCAGTGACGGGCAGCATGTCCCAGCGAGGGCCCTGGGCTCTTGGAGGGCTCTGGTGTGCACGTGCCACACAGAGTGACCTCAGAGTCACTGGGGAGAATGGGTCCCATCCTGAAGGGCAGTGAGTTGGGCCCTTCCGATGAGCTAGAGAGGCCTTTAGGCCCCAGCAGTATTGAGGGGCCACCAGGTGACCTGGAGGGTCCATCTGCCCGGGCCTCCAGAGCTGAGGAGAGTGTGGCCACAGCCCTGGCCTGGCTTCAGAGGGGGGTGTTGCGCTGGCCCGCGGCTGCTGGGACTGCAATTGTTTGGATTGTCACTGACCGTGCTTTTGTTTTTGTTTTTTTCTCCTCACTCCTGGGCTTATTCTCATTGCTTTCTTTCTCTCTCCGCTTCCCCCTCCCGTGTCTGGTCCTCTCTCTCCCCTTCCCCACCCCCTCCTCTTGTCCTCTGCTCTTCTGCCTCTTCCGGCATCTCTCTGTTCCTTGTCTCAGCTGGAGGTTCTGCACTACCGACTCAGTGTCTCCAGCGCCCTCTACAGCCCCGCCCAACCCAGCCTCCAGGCCCTCCACGCCTACCAAGTACTGGCTCATTCGTTCCCTTCCCCTGCCCATAGTGCATGTCCATGCCTGGCAAAGCCAGGGGCCGCCGGGGCCGGCCGCTGGTGACTCAGAGGCTAGTTCCAAGCAGAGCGAAGCCCCTGTGTCTGGGGGAGGCAGGGGTCAGCCTCCAGTCTGGCCTGGCCCCTGGCTTTGTAGTCTAGCTTGGTTGGGGGTGGGACTGGTGGCTGTGTGGCAGAACAAGGCATGTGGCCCTGGCTGTCCAGGCTCCCAGCCAGTGGAGGTGTCACAAGCTCTCCGGTGTTGGAGGCCCCGTGCTTGGCCCTGCTTTGAAACACTGGAGTCCTCAGGCCTCAGCAGTGGCCTGGTTCACTGCACTCTGTAGGGTCTGGTGCTCAGGAAGGAGCTGAAGACACAGAGGCCTGGGACTTACCAGTGGTGTGGGTTCTACCTTGTTTAGAACTGTCACCCAGCCTGGAGGTGCTACGACCCAGAGCCTGCATGTGAGGCGGGGGTGGGAAGGACCTAGGGCTTGACCCTATAGCCCACAGAAGCTGTCCGTCCTTGACAGTCCAGCCAGGACCCGGCCGTCACCTGGGGAGCCCTGGCCACTCATACACACCTCCAGAGGCGGATTAAAGTGGGTGGTGACCTCATAGAGGTTGTAGCTGCCTAGGCAGAAATGACAAGTGTGTGGATGGATTTGAGGTCAGTGAAGCAGAGTTCAGACTTGTAGGGGACTTCAGGGATGACAGAGGAATCTGTGAGAGCCAGAGGAGACAGGCTTTGCTCACAGCCAGTGATCTGTCCCGCTCACCTGGGAAGGAGCACGCATGACTGAACAGGAATTAGAGCACAAGATGAGAAAACGTGTTGGCCCCTGAGCGCCGTTGGGCTGGGCTGGTGGCCACAGCACACGGGGGCACCTCATACCGCAGGAGCCACTCCAGAGGAGCGGAGGGACCTGAGAGGGCTTGGGCCAGGGAGGGAGGGCAGTGTCCAGAAAGCACCTGGTAAACCCCATGGTGGGAGGGGTGACCAGCGAGACCTAGGTGGGGTGAGCTGAGGTGCTGTGAGTCTCAGCCCAGTGGGAAATGTGGGTCTTTGGGGAACACATCCCTAAGAAGCAAGCAGGTGTGGCTGTGGCCAGGGACTCCATGTGGGAACATGGCCCAGGAGGGGTGCCGAGCTGAGGGAGGAGTTTGGCTCAGCACACCTGTGGGAAAATAGCCTGAGAGGGTTCCAGGTGACTGCCGGGGGTTAGGGGCGGACAGTGGGCCCTCTGACCCTTCGGAAGGACCGGGTGAGGTGGGGCAAGTGCACCAGCAGGGGAAGGCAGTTTTCCAGTTCCCATGTGGAGGTCGTCCCCTCCCCTGAGCCGCAGGGAGGATGTTAGGGCTCACGATCCTAGGCCAGGGTTGGAGGGAGGGCCTGGGGTGAGATTGGAGGAAGAGAAAGACCCTGGTCTAACGTCCCACCCACTGGTGCTCTTCTAGTTGGGCAGTATAGGTACAGGTATCATGTCTCATACTTTTCTCCTTCCGTCTTGTCTTTTTTTTCTTTTTGAGATGGTGTCTCGCTCTGTTGCCCAGGCTGGAGTGCAGTGGCATGGTCTTGACTCACTGCAATCTCCACCTCCCAGATTCAAGTAATTATCCTGTCTCAGCCTCTTGAGTAGCTGGGATTACAGGCACGTGCCACCCACCCGGCTAATTTTTGTATTTTTAGTAGAGACATAGTTCTACCATGTTGGCCAGGCTGGTCTCAAACTCCCGACCTCAAGTAATCTGCCTGCCTTGGCCTCCCAGAGTGTTGGGATTATAGGCGTGAGTCACTGCACCTGGCCCTTTCTTCCAAAACAATGCAAATTCATTGCCCAAAGACTTAACGATACAGATAGTAGAGGAAAATAGCCAGCCGCGATGGCTCACACTTGTAATCCCAGCACTTTGGGAGGTTGAGGCAGGCTGATTGCTTGAACTCAGGAGTTTGAGACCAGCCTGGGCAACATGGCGAGACCCCTGTCTCTACAAAGAAATACAAAAATTAGCCTGGTGTGGTGGTGTGTGCCTGTGTTCCCAGCTACCCGGGAGGCTGAGGTGGGAGGATCCCTTGAGCCCTGGAGGCAGAGGCTGCAGTGAGCCGAGATCACGACACTACACTCCAGCATGGGTGACAGAGTGAGACCCTGTCTCAAAAAAAGAAGAAAATGCCTCCCACCCTGTAGCTCCATCTTCAGACTCAGCCACTGATCTCTGGGGCGTGTCACCTGGACCTGTGGGGACAGTTTTCTGACGGGGAGACTCGAGTGGGCAGCGATATGGGCAGTGGCCCGTGCGGGGTCTGCAGCATCCCAGGATATACCCGGAGGCTGGGCCCTGCACCAGCACAGATGTATGAAGGCCCAAAGGGCTGGGGGACAAACGAGCATGTCCACTCAGACTCAGGGCCCTGCCCTCAGCACCCTAACTCCCTTGCCCTCGTCAACTCTTGATGCTCCCACCTGCCCTCCCAATGCTAAGCAACCGGAGGAAGCACATGGCCACCAAAAAGATTTCCTCTCCAGCTAGATCTCCAGGATCCTGCTTGTATGTTACAAATCAAAGTTTGGCCTAGGCTGGGCACAGTGGCTCATGCCTGTAATCCCAGCACTTTGGGAGACCTGAGGTCTGGCCAACATGGTGAAATCTCGTCTCTACTAAAAGTAAAAATTAGCTGGGCATGGTGGCACACACTTGTAGTCCCAGCTACTTGGGAGGCTGAGTCAGGAGAATCGCTTGAACCTGGATGCGGAGGTTTCAGTGAGCCGAGATAGTGCCGCTGTGCTCCAGCCTGGGCGACAGAGGGAGACCTTGTCTCAGGAAAAAAAAAAGTCTGGCCTAATATCCCTGACTCTGCTTTTGTCTTGGGGTTTTCCTGACCACAGGTCCCTGGGCAACAGAGGAATTGACGCCCAGGGCTTCTGCTGGGCCGAGTTCTCATCTGGCTGTGTCCAGGATGAGCAGGTGGAAGGATTTGGGGAGGAAAGCGAAGCCATGGGGTTCTTATTTTTGACCAAGGTCTTACTTTGTCACCCAGGCTGGAGTGTAGTGGCACGATCCTAGCTCACTGCAGCCTCAAACCCTTGGGCTCAAGTGATCCTCCCACCCTAGCCTCCTGAGTCGTTAGGACTATAGGTGTGCACCACCACACCCAGCTAACTTTTTAAAATTTTTCGTAGAGACCTGGTCTCCCTGTGTCGTCTAGGCTAATCTCTAACTTCTTAGTGATCTTTCTGCCTCTGCCTCCCAAAGTGCTGGAATTACAGGTCTGAGGCACCACAGCTGGGTTCCACGTGCTTTCTGCACACACTTGGGAGGCTGGTGGGAGACCCTGGATCCAGAGCTTGGGGTGATGCTGGCTCTCTCCTGCCCTAAGGATCAAGACAGGCACCAGTGCCCAAGGGCACAGCCTGTGCCACCCACTGCGGGCTTGCAGCGGTGCAGAAGCAGGGCTGAGGGGCCCTCTGCAGATGTGTCTGTCTTAGTGAGGCCTCCCCAGGGTGGGCTTTGTGGGCGCTGGGCCAAGCACTTCCCTACCACAAGCTGGTCGGCGTTCAGACCAAGCAGTGTAAGGCACGTCTGCTGGGTGCCAGGCACAGTGGTGCCCCAGGGAGTGGCCCCACTCCCAGCCTGGCTCGTGCCTCCTGTGGGGAAGCAGAGCAGCTGGCTCAGGGCGGGATGTGGTCAGACCTGGAAGCCTAGTGCTGTGGGTGCCGCGCTCCTTCCCAGGCCCTCACCCTCATTCTCCACCTAGGAGTCGTTCACGCCTACTGAGGAGCATGTGTTGGTGGTGCGCCTGCTGCTGAAGCACCTGCACGCTTTTGCCAACAGCCTGAAGCCAGAGCAGGCTTCGCCGTCTGCCCACTCCCACGCCACCAGTCCCCTGGAGGAGTTCAAACGGTAGATGTCCCTTGCGGCTTCCCACCACTGCTGTCTCCCCCGCTTTCCCTTCCTAAGGTGTCGCCCACAGCAGCCTGTCCCCAGGGCATGGAGGGCAGGGTGAGGGGAGTCCCTTTCCGCTCACAGAGCACGTGAGGTTTCTCCAGGCCTAGGCAGGTGCCTTCTCTCCCCACCTAGTTGGCTCCCAGAGCCTCTCTCTCCAGACTGGCCGGAGAGGCCCCATTGTGCTTCCATCTCTTACATCTAATCTTCTTCCACCCTGTCAGGAGAAGAGCTGGGGCAGCCCTGACTGCCAGGCCCATCAGGGCCAGCAGAGTGGGCTGTTTGTATGGGACTGAGGTGAGGTGTGTGCGGGAGCGGCACTGACTTGGCCGCCTGTGTGCTGTGTGTCCTTGGGATGTTCCCTAAACTCTCTGAACCTTGGTTTCTTCCTCTGAAGAATGGGGCTGAACCTCCTGGAGGTGCCCAGTGCTCTCCCCCGGCAGAGCCGACCCTCACTGATGGGAGCCGCGGGCTCACCTGTGAGCAGGGCCTCCTTACTGGGCAAGCAGCAGGTGACCCTCCCAATCCCCTGCAGGGCCGCTGTCCCAAGGTTCGTCCAGCAGAAACTCTACCTATTCCTGCAGCATTGCTTTGGCCACTGGCCCCTGGACGCATCGTTCAGAGCTGTGAGTGTTGGCCCCGTCACACATGTGCCTGTGTCCTCTGTGTGCCCTGAGGTGGGAGGTCCTCTGGGGCAGTTGAAGGAGGAGAGCAAGTGTTTTCACAGAGGCCTTGGCAAGGAGGGGGTCTTGGAGGGCCGCATTGTTCTTTCTGTTTGTTTCCAAATCCAACCCTCAGGAAAGCCCTGCCCTGTCCCACCTGTCTGGTGCAGGGCAGGTTCCTACCCTTACCTGACCAGGGCGCACTGTGCCCCCTGTGCTGGGAAAAGCCCACCTATGACCCTGGCTTCTGGAGGACCAGCAAGAGAGCCAAACCCCACAGGGCTGTGTACGTCTCTCCTGCGCCCTCTGGGCGACGTGGGAAGAGCCAGTCCCACCCAGCTGCCGCCTGGGACCTGGGCTCCACGTCACCAGAGGATTCGGCCCCCAGCCACTGAGCCCTCAGCACACACCTCCCCCACAGGTCCTAGAGATGTGGCTGAGCTACCTGCAGCCATGGCGGTATGCACCTGACAAGCAGGCTCCGGGCAGCGACTCCCAGCCCCGGTGTGTGTCGGAGAAATGGTGAGCCTCAGCCCCTTTCACAGACATGCACTGGCTCCCCTAGGTGGATATGGCTCCGGTGGGTGGAGGCCAGGCCAGAGGCCTGTGCTGGGGTCAGCCTGGCCCTGGCCCCCGTGGCCGCCTACGGTCCTCTCCCAGCCCCTGCCGACTGGAGCACAGACCAGCCCTTCCTAGACTCAACTTTGCCAGGCCCTAGAATTGGTTTCTTATGGAAGCGGTGGGTGACCCATCCTGCCCTGTCCCCTCTCCCTTCTGTCCCAGACGAGTGTTCAGCCATCCCCAAACTATCCCTTGACTCTCATCAGCACAGAGCAGAGCAGTGGTGATCAAGCAGGGAATGAGGGAGGCCGCCTTCCCCCATCCCCTGCTTGATTCTTACAGCAGACCCCCAGGCTTCTGTGGCACCTCGCATGGCACTGACCCCTCCCCTCACCCAAGGCCTTCCCCTTTGGACCCTCTGGGGGATCCTCCCTCAGCCCCCTCAGGCTTTGGGCCGGCCTCTGCCATGGTGGCCTCCGTTCACTTGGAAAGGGGCCTCAGCCTTGCTAAGGATGTGGTGTCCTCAGAGGGCCTGGGTCTTACCTGCCTCTGTCCTGCCCTCCCTGCCTGCCCATGCCCCCCGAGTTGTCATCTGTGACAGCTTGTCACCTTGGCCAGGGAGAGTCTGAAAGCCCAAGGGTAAGCAAGGGCATTAAGGACATAGACCAGCACAGCCCCCGCCTCCAGTTGGAAGACTGGCCCTGACCTGCCACCTCGGTCCCCAGGGCGCCCTTTGTCCAGGAGAACCTACTGATGTACACCAAGTTGTTTGTGGGCTTCCTGAACCGCGCACTCCGCACAGACCTGGTCAGCCCCAAGCACGCGCTCATGGTGTTCCGAGTGGCCAAAGTCTTTGCCCAGCCCAACCTGGCTGAGATGATTCAGAAAGGTAAGTCATCAGCCTGGGCCAGCCGGGTAAACGTCGACCAAGCCAGACCAGGGCCAGGCCCTTAGCTGGAGGCGACCGGTCTTTAAGAGGGACCCACATGCCCAGAGTGGGCCCTAGCAAAGGGTGCTGTGGAGACTCCTGGGACACATCTGTATGGTGAAGTCTGAAACCGGCTGGATCCTGCCTGCCCTGCAGCCACCAGGCACTCGCGGAGAGGATGGCAGGTGTGCCCATAGAGGGGGACTGCATGGTCCAAGCTGCAGCCCCGTGGCCCCGCTGTTTCTCCCGGGTGACTCGTGGTGGCCACTTGAGGAGGTGAGCCTGGACTCTGCCGTGCATTCATCCTGGCTGGGTTGGGCATTGGTTTCTGTTCCTCCTGCTGTTGTTTACCTCCTGCAGACACTGCTGGGGGCTCTGTGAGCCACCAGCTCCCCCACCTGCCCTCCTCAGCCACCTACTGTGTGGGAGATGCTGCCAGGCAGGGCCTCAGAGGACACCCCTGGGTCACGGCTCCCCAGACACCTCGGAGGCACCCCAGAATTCTAAGTCAGGTACTCTGCCTCCGGGAAGTGGGTGCCAGGTTCGACCGTCTCCTGCCTTCTAGGTGAGCAGCTATTCCTGGAGCCAGAGCTGGTCATCTCCCACCGCCAGCACCGACTCTTCACGGCCCCCACATTCACTGGGAGTTTCCTGTCACCCTGGCCACCAGCAGTCACTGATGCCTCCTTCAAGGTGAAGAACCACGTCTACAGCCTGGAGGGCCAGGACTGCAAGTACACCCCGATGTTTGGGCCCGAAGCCCGCACCCTGGTGAGTGGGCCGGCGGTGCCTGTCCTTAGGGCCCCTGGAGCCACGGGGCTGAGAAGAGCCGGGCAAGGGCTGTGATCCGGCAGGAAGGAGGGAGGCTGGGTGTAGATTTGTCACCACATCTCCTTCCCCCATTTTAGTAAAGTCTCAGTTTTTCCTGATAACGAAGGCAGTGTTTGTTGGGAAATTTCAAATTTAGATGATCATCCTTTAGTCTTTAAAAGTCCTCTGGCGGAAGCTGCTCCTCCCGACGCTCAGCAGTCTGGCTGTGCATTGCTCTTGGGGCTCCCGGCCAGCCTGTCTGGGTGGCAGCACAGGCCTGTCCTGCTGGTGACCTGGTGACCTGCCCGCACCTCCCTTGCAGGTCTTACGCCTTGCTCAGCTCATCACACAGGCCAAACACACAGCCAAGTCCATCTCAGACCAGTGTGCGGAGAGCCCGGCTGGCCACTCCTTCCTCTCATGGCTGGGCTTTAGCTCCATGGACACCAACGGCTCCTACCCAGCCAACGATCTAGACGAGATGGGGCAAGACAGCGTCCGGAAGACAGATGAATATCTGGAGAAGGCCCTGGAGTACCTGCGTCAGATATTCCGGGTAGGACCTATGGGACCTGCCCCACGGCCATCAGCGTCCCCTTCCCCGAAAGATCCACTTCACGTAGCCTGTGCTCAGCCATGTACCAGTCCCAGGCCCCACACACCAGTCCCAGGCCCCACACATACGGACCCAGTGTTGTGGGAGGCAGGCCCACACCTCGAGCGTCATATCTGGGTCCCCTTGTTGGCACTGTTGTAGGCTGGTGGGGTGAAGACTGGTCCCCTCCCTTCATCTTGACGCTGAGGGCAGAGGCACTTCTCTCTGGCAGCTCAGTGAAGCACAGCTCAGGCAGTTCACGCTCGCCTTGGGCACCACCCAGGATGAGAACGGAAAAAAGCAGCTTCCCGACTGCATTGTGGGTGAGGACGGACTCATCCTCACGCCCCTGGGGCGGTACCAGGTGAGAGGCCCGTGTCTCAGAGGAGCACGGGCTGGGCCCTGCCCCATCCCTAGCTCCCTCCTCCCTCGTGAGCAGAGACCATCAGGCTCCTCTGAGTTGTATGTGGGGCTGTGTTTTCTGACCCGTCGCTATGGCCTGGCTTTCTAGATCATCAATGGGCTGCGAAGGTTTGAAATTGAGTACCAGGGGGACCCAGAGCTGCAGCCCATCCGCAGCTATGAGATCGCCAGCTTGGTCCGTACGCTCTTCAGGCTGTCGTCTGCCATCAACCGCAGAGTGAGTGGGCAGGAGGACCGGCCTGGCCTCTTCAGAGAGGGTTCTGGATGCTCCTGCCCCGGGTGCAGTCCCAGGCTGGCTGGTGGGGGTGGGGCACTGCTGTCCTGAGGCCTGTGGTGCCACCATCCCACACCCCATGCCTCTGTCTGTGCTTCAGTTTGCAGGACAGATGGCGGCTCTGTGTTCCCGGGATGACTTCCTCGGCAGCTTCTGTCGCTACCACCTCACAGAACCCGGGCTGGCTAGCAGGCACCTGCTGAGCCCCGTGGTGCGGAGGCAGGTGGCTGGCCACACCCGTGGCCCCAGGCTCAGCCTGCGCTTCCTGGGCAGTTACCGGACGCTGGTCTCGCTGCTGCTGGCCTTCTTGGTGGCCTCTCTGTTCTGCGTCGGGCCCCTCCCATGCACGCTGCTGCTCACCCTGGGCTATGTCCTCTACGCCTCTGCCATGACCTTGCTGACCGAGCGGGGGAAGCTGCACCAGCCCTGAGGGTGTCAGCTGCCTTCAGAGCAGGCTGGGGGGATTTGCCACACAGCCCCACCTTGGGCCTGAGAGGACCTGGGAAGCCCCTCCAGGAGGGACCACGGTCATCCTCGGGCTTCTGGAGCAGGGTTCCTGCAGCCGCAGAGGCATCTGGAGGAAACGCAACCAAGAAGGGAAGGCAGGGGAGGCCGAGACGGGCGGATCACAAGGTCAGGAGATCAAGACCATCCTGGCGAACACGGTGAAACCCCGTCTCTACTAAAAAATACAAAAAACTAGCCGGGCGAGATGGCCGGCGCCTGTAGTCCCAGCTACTCGGGAGGCTGAGGCAGGAGAATGGCGGGAACCCGGGAGGCGGAGCTTGCAGTGAGCTGAGATCCGGCCACAGCACTCCAGCCTGGGCGACAGAGCGAGACTCCGTCTCAAAAAAAAAAAAAAAAAAGGGAAGGCAGGCGGGGCCCGGCAAAGGAGTGGCTACCAGGCCTTAACAACCACGTTCTGTGACAGCGCAGAGCTCGGCGCCGGCCCCTCCCTCCCTCCGCCAAGGACTCTGCCCAGCCAGCTCTTGGGGCCTTTTTCCAGCGCCCATTTGGGTACTCTGCCGCTAAGCTTGGGAGCCAGCCTGCCAACAGCCGCCTGGCCTGGCCTCCCGACTGGCTGGCCTTGAGGTGGGCAGAGTGGGTTGTGGCACCTCCTCTCCCTGTGTGGGACCAGGACGGTGGCTCAGCCTCCACTCCAGGGAAGAATCAAAGTTTCTAGAGTCGTGAGAAAACTATTGAGAGTGGCTCTCCTCTGATTCTTCACTGTGAGGGGCATTCTTCATGTTCTCCCAGCTGTTCCAAGACTGGGCCGTAGAATTCCATGTTTCAGGAGCCTAAGACCCTCCCAGAGCCCAGGTGCTTCACCGCAGACCCCAAGCCGTCGAGCACATCGCCCAGAGCAGTGGCCAACATCATGGACCCCTGTGCCTTGTCACAGATGGGTGCTGGTCCTCAGGTGTTGCAGACACTGCTGGGTCCATGGGGTCGGAGTCTGCCAGTTTCTGCTCTGCAGCCAAAGATGGTCAGAAGCATTGTCGCTTCACTAGCATCAAGTGCTCAAAGACATGGCAGCCATTTGATGGTACTTAAGTATTCAAAATGACGACAACTGCAGATTCTCTGACAGAAACCAGCACGGGGTCTTCACCTTCCTTCACCCCACAGATGACACGCCAGGGACAACAGCATCTCAGTGGCGATTTCCAAACCAAGCCTTTGTTTTTGCTGTGGGAGTTTGGGGGTTTGCTTTAATGTTTTTCAAATTGTAAATGTTGGGCTTTGTATTTTGATGTAAACTGAGAATAATGGCATTTTAGGGCCTGTGACCAAAAATCAAGCTTGTAACTCGACCATGGATCTGAATAAACCTGTCCTTGCTTCTGAGTCTTCTGGCACCTCAGCTCAGTCTCCAGGAGCTTCACCTGTGCAGAGTCCCTGAGCACACGGGGGCTGCAGACACAACTGCTGGGCACCCTGTCGGCCCCTCCCTGCAGTGTCCACAGGCCTGGGCCTCTGGCTTCCTGTTCTTTCCTCTCTCAGAGGCACAGTGGCTTTGCCCCGTCTTTACAAAAGATTCAAAAAGTTAGGCATGGTGGCTCACATGTGTGGTCCCAGCTACTCGGGACACCGAGTTTGGAGGATCGTCAGGACCCAGGAGGTGAAGGCTGCAGTGAGCCTTCATCACGCCACTATCCTCCAGCCTGGGTGACGGAGTGAGACCCTGTTCTCAAAAGCTGACCTCCAGGAACGTGTGCTGCCATGTCTATGGCTTCCAGAAGCTCCGAGGATTGCGGGAGTTGCTGGGGGCTGAACTGTCTGGCCAGGAGCGGGGGTGCAGACAAAAACGTATTGAGAACCAAGAACAGCAAAGCTGAGAGGGGGCAGGGTCTTGGTGGCTGGGACCTGGACAGTGATGGCCACAAAGCCAGCTGGTGCTCAGTGGCTCCTGCCTGGGGAGCGAGGACAGCAGCAGGCAACTAGGTTCCAGCCACTTCCAGGTGGGGGGTAGGGACCTCGCCAATAAATTGGGATTTAAATTTTGCCGAGAGCTTTCACTCGAGAAAATGGGACTGCTGGGACGAGAGCAGAAGCAAAATGCAGTTGGGGGGGCCCGGCCAGGAGGCACTTGGGGACTTCCAGGGAAGGCCTGTAGTTGGAGCAACTTGGGAAGCAGTTCTGTCTGGGGCACAAGGAGGAGGGATGCCAGGCTGGAGGCAGGAGCGCCTGCACATTCTCGTCTGCACCCCTGGATGCCTCCAGAGTGGTCTGCCCTAACTGCCACTGCCGCCGCCGCCTCAGCTCCTAGGACTTTTTGCCATTGGGCCACACTCCTCTGCTAACAGGCCAAATCCAGATGCTTCTCTGACCAAGTGGCCTGGAGCCTCTGGCGGCACAGCTTCAGGCTGTCCTGACATCACCCCTGCCCCCTGCACATCCGCATTGTCCTCCTTGCCCCGAGGCAGTGCTGTTCCCTGGAGCCCATTCATGGCCCACTCCCTTGCACGACCAACACATTATACCTCTAGGATATGCCAGCGCCCCTGTGATCTGAGGTAAGTCAGATTCTGATTGTGCAAGCAACTCACACGCAGAGGCCCTGTGCAGTCAGGAGAAATCTATACCTTTCCCCTTGGACATCCAAGAGCAAGTTAGATCCCCTAAAGGCCAGCTCTCACCAATAACCCTGACATTTCCAATATAAATGAGAGAGAACTCTTCTTTTTTTTTTTTTTTTTAACTGAGTATCTCACTCTGTCACCCAGGCTGGAGTGCTGTGGCCGGATCTCAGCTCACTGCAAGCTCCGCCTCCCGGGTTCCCGCCATTCTCCTGCCTCAGCCTCCCGAGTAGCTGGGACTACAGGCGCCCGCCACCATGCCCAGCTAGTTTTTTGTATTTTTAGTAGAGACGGGGTTTCACCGTGTTAGCCAGGATGGTCTCAATCTCCTGACCTCGTGATCCACCCGCCTCGGCCTCCCAAAGTGTTTTGTATTTTTAGTAGAGACGGGGTTTCACCGTGTTAGCCAGGATGGTCTCAATCTCCTGACCTCGTGATCCACCCGCCTCGGCCTCCCAAAGTGCTGGGATTGCAGGCGTGAGCCACCGTGCCCGGCCGAGAACTCTTTTGGAGACAAAGTCTTGCTATATTGCCCAGGCTGGAGTGCACCGCACCGTCACGGCTCACTGCAGCCTGCAACTCCTGGGCTTACGCAGTCCTTCTGCCTCAGCATCCTAAGTAGCCAGGACTACAGGCGTGCGCCACCACACCCTGCTAATTTTTAAATTTTTTTGTAGAGGTGGGGTCTCACTGTGTTGCCAGGCTGGTCTTGAACTCCTGGGCTCAAGTGATGGACCGCCTCTGCATCCTGAAGTGCTGGGGTTACAGGTGCGAGCCACCACACTGGAGAGAGGAGTCTCATGTAGCCTTCACTGTAAAAACTAAGCTAGCTTCCCTTGACTCCCCAAACCAGAATTCCTAACATAATTTTCTCAAGTCACAAGGTGCCAAAACATACCAAATTATTTCCCAGTCAAGAATTCCTACTTTTGGCCAGGTGCAGTGGCTCACGCCTGTAATCCCAGCACTTTAGGAGGCTGAGGCAGGAGGATCACTTGACGTCAAGAGTTCGAGACCAGCCTGGCCAACATGGTGAAATCCCATCTCTACTAAAAATACAAAAATTAGCTAGTGTGGCGCATACCTCTAATCTCAGTTACTTGGGAGGCTGAGGCAGGAGAATCGCTTGAACCTGGGATGCAGAGGTTGCAGTGAGCCGAGATTGCACCACTGTACTCCAGCCTGGGTGGCAGAGACTCCTTCTAAAAAATAAATAAAAAATAAAAGTGATAATTGGCAGCTGGTGCCAGGGAGAGGCCACTTCCTGATGGGCCACACCTATTTCACTAAAGGGTTAATTGAATGCAGATTCGAGGGAGAAGCAACTTCCCAGGCATGTGCATTAGGAGACAAAGTGGTGGAGTATGACCTTCTGGGGGCACCCCACCCAAAACCCTCAGATGGCATGCATACAGTTTCCTAAACACACTGCGAGCGCTCACCTCCCAGGGGTAAGGAGGGCACTATACATACGGACAGCCCACCCTAAGAGAAGGGTCACGGGAAAGGGGCCAGTCTAGAAGGTCCTAGGATCAAGGTTAAACACTTGACCTTCATGTGCCCACTTAGGTCTCTTCCAAGCGTACTTTCCTTTCTTTGCTGTTTTAAAGCCTTTTAAAATACACTTCCACTCCTGCTCTGAAACTTGCTTCGGTCTCTTTTTCTGCCTTATGCCCCTCAGTCGAATTCCTTCTTCTGAGGAGCCAAGAACTGTCATTGCTGAAGACCCATCGGATTCGCTGCCAGCAACTTGGACACCTTCCACTGCTAACACCATTAATTCGGACACCTTCCACTGCTAAGACAATAACACTTGGTTACTGTGTTTATTTGGAGCCTAAGTAGGGTTTAAGGAGATGTGTATGGGTCTCAGGTTGACAAGGGGTGGACTTGTGATGGTTAATTCTGTATGTCAACTTGTCTGGGCCACTGGATGCACACATATCTGGTTACACAGTATTTCCTGGCAGGTCTGGAAGGGTGTTTTCAGAAGAAATTAGCATTTAAGTTGGTGGTGCAAGCAGCCATGCATGCATTACTGGAGCAGCTTCCCTGTAGCTTGCAGGAACCAGAGCGGGCAATAAGAGTCCCATCCTCCAAATCCTGGGGATCTGTGCTCTGATTGATGATGGTTGCTTTTGATTGTGAAAATGCAGACAAAGGCCGGGCGCGGTGGCTCAAGCCTGTAATCCCAGCACTTTGGGAGGCTGAGACGGGCGGGTCACGAGGTCAGGAGATCGAGACCATCCTGGCTAACATGGTGGAACCCCGTCTCTACTAAAAATACAAAAAATTAGCCAGGTGTTGTGGCAGACGCCTGTAGTCCCAGCTACTCGGGAGGCTGAGGCAGGAGAATAGCGTGAACCCGGGAGGCGGAGCTTGCAGTGAGCTGAGATCCGGCCACTGCACTCCAGCCTGGG